CTGGATTCTTATTGCAATATGTAGGTTCAGAGTTTTAAAATCTGTCCTGGATTGTGAGAGTAAAAAGCTTCCAGTATGTCGGGGAGAATTTGAGTCACCACCACAATGCAATGTTATGATAGTAAATAACATTATTATCAGGTTAGGTGATTAAAATGTCAGTCAAGTGACAACATGTATATAACATTCCATGAACTGAGTTCTCTCAGATGAGGAAGCCCTAGACCTTGATGAGATTATTACGATGTTAATTATGTAGGACCATTGTAAATACTCGTCCAGCTGCCTCACTGATAATTACTTAACTTAGTTCTCCCAGATGACTGATTGATATGTGATTGGGCAAAAGCCGTGTAGTCGGTGAATTGTAACAGTACAGAAACAGAGCACTTTTCCTTGGGGTGAGAGCAGCGTTCGATACTATGAACTTTGTTGTACTTAATTGTAAAATCACTCATCAGTATGCCAGTAGGCTAACTTACACATAAAGTAGACTCTTGGCTATGAGACCATATTTGATGGTTAATAACAAAAGTGGTCTATCCTGGTAATTCTACTACTTGTATAATTTACTATAGTAGCATATAGGCCTACCATTGTGAGTAATCATTTTAATTAATTTTTTTTTATTCATTACCAGCTATTTACAAAGATGTTTCTGAGCAGTTTCTAATTATTCCCTTGATGCATTTTATTCTCACTAAGGTTGACTTGCATTTCCAAAGGCTTGCGGGATGAACGTTTTGCAAGTGTGGGTGATTTGTGAGAAGCATTGGAGAAGTTGTTGTATGCGGCCATGACTCTGTAAACTGCATGCAGGGTCTTGGGGGAGACATGCTCCCATGTAGCTGCGACACTCTTTGCCATTTGACAGTGGTAAGTATAATTAAACTTGACTAGAATTTCTGCTGATTAGCAGTAAAAACAACTTTAAAATGCAAGGGGCGTGGCTATATTTCTTAGATATATTTTGGTTTATTTTATCTGAGAAACTAATCACTATGTGACAGGCCACAGGTATATATAGAGAGGTTTGCCAGGATTTTTGCTGCCGGGCGCTCCAGTTGCGGACGGAAGTCGGAAGATCCAATCTAGGGGGGTCCGGGGTATGCCCACACCGAAATTTTTTTAATTTTGGATTAGTCTGAAAACTTCAATTTCCTGATCTGAGCAATAAAAGCCATTATATCAGAGTTTTTTATTTTTATTTTTTTTTATATCAAAATTAGTGCGGGTGAGAGTTATATTAAGTAAGCTAACGTCTACACACGGAAACCTTAACTCCGAGATTAAGCGTCTACACGGGGCCTTTAATCGAGTTTAAAGTAACTCGAGTTAGCGTTAACTTCGAGTTAGCATTTAACTCGCAGTCGATTGAGGTTAAGCATAAATCGAGTTACTTAACTCGAGGTTAGGGAAGTGTTAGGACGCTTAACTCGGTTTTAAGGTTCGTCGTGTATGACGTAGACTTATAGTATTTCACCCGGCAACTATTTTTGATTATAAAACAAAGAAAAGAAAAAAGGTCCTATTTGATCAATTTTCTTCTTTTTATCTTCAATATAAACGTATGATATCTTGGGTATCATGGGTTACAAATTTTTTGGGGTCATATTTCATTATATCGGTATAAGACTAACGATATACTTGTGTTACAAGTCATTTTATTACATGAAAAAGTTGAAAAACCACCCATTTAGTCTAAAATAACCAAATTTATCTGTATTTTGACATTCACTTCTGCTTCAAATACCTGCACCACACTACAAATATGCATAAGAAAAATGTTATGCGTGAGAAATAAGTTTAGGCAGCAATGACCATAATTAATCATAGGCTTATAGACAAATAACAACTACCAAGAACCATTAAAGGTATAATAAAACAAATTACAAAAATGGATAATTGGAAATAATTATATTATTGTGCATTCTGCGGGCCGGCCGGTAGGACAGACGCCTCGATCGCCTCCTTCCTTCTTTCTCTTCCCTCTCCTCTCACTTCTCCCTCCCCTCCCTCCTCTCCCCTCTCATCACTTACCACCTCGATCCCTCCCTCCCTCCCTCCCTCTCACTCACTCACCACCTCGACCTCCTCCCTCTTCTACCTTCTCCTCCTCCACTACCTCCTCTCTCCCCTATCTCCCAACTTCCTCTCCCCTCCACCACATTCTCTTCCTCTACCTCCTCCCTCCTCTACCTCCTCCTCCACCTCCTCCCCCACCACCTTCTACCCTCCTCCTCGACCTCCTTCCTGTACCCCTTTTCTACCTTCTTCCTGTCCCCCTTTTCTACCTCCTCCCCTTCTCCCCCTCCTCCTCCTCCACTACCTTTTCCCTCGTCCTCTACCTCTTCTACCTCCACCCCTTTTCCCCTCCTGCTCTCCCCACTACCTTCTCCCTCGTCCTCTACCTTCTCTCCTTCCTCCTGTACCACCTTCTCCCCTCCTCATATACCTCGTCCCTCTGAAACTGTGAAACTCTCATGACTCTGAATCGCATTATTCGATCCGTAAATCGAATCATTCGATCCGTTAATCGAATCATTCCATCCGTGAATCGAATCATTCGATCCGTGAATCGAATCATTCGATCCGTGAATCGAATCATTCGATCCGTGAATCGAATCATTCGATCCGTGAATCGAATCATTCGATCCGTGAATTGAAGCATTCGATCCGTGAATCGAATCATTCGATCCGTGAATCGAAGCATTCGATCCGTGAATCGAAGCTTTCGACCCGTGAATCGAAGCATTCGATCCGTGAATCGAAGCATTCGATCCGTGAATGTTATATGTGATAAAATCAACCATAAAACAAAAAATATAATGAAGCAAAATACATGCCAAAGCCATGTGCGGTAACCCTACTGATAGTTGCGTCGCTGTTTCACCGCTCGTTTCTACCGTTTCAACATGCCTAAACCCATAGAGATTCTATTATACACAGTGTATAATAGAATCTCTATGCCTAAACCGACCACGTTATGTGGCTCCTATGGCAGGTACTAGCCGCTGCCGATAGGTGGCTCTCATGCCAGTTTCACGATCGCTGCGTGGCGTCGCACAAGAAAGTGCGTACAGTGCAATGATTTTCACAGGTGTGTGCCTCGGGCCTTATGTATGTTCAAAAGACACGTGGTGAGAGTAGCGATCAGTCTTAGTACTTAGCACGTTCATCCCGTTTACTGGATGTTTCGCCTGATTTCATCGTCGTCTGCACCACGCGTTCCGCATTGTGGTCTGTCTCGGTCGTTAGGGTTGTCCCGACACAGGCTCTATATCCGTGCGGCAATAAGTAGGTAGGAGAGAGAGCGAGAGAGAAAGAGAGAGGGAGAGAGAAAGAGAGAGAGAGAGAGCGAAAGAGAAAGAGAGAGAGAGAGAGAGAGAGAGAGAGAGAGAGAGCGAGGTGGAGAGAGAGAAAGGAAGAGAGAGCGCGCGAGCGAGAAAGAGAGAGAGTGTGAGAAAGAGAGAGAGAGAGCGCGAGCAAGGTGGAGAGAGCGAAAGGAAGAGAGAGAGAGAGCGCGCGAGCGAGAAAGAGAGAGAGACAGAGTGTGAGAAAGAGAGAGAGAGAGAGAGCGAGGTGGAGAGAAAGAGAAAGGAAGAGAGAGAGAGAGCGCGATCAGCATTGC